ACAGAATGTGATACAGGAAGCAGGACATTTCAACAATGGACCCAGTATCAAACATGCCCAAGACTACTCCTTTCTATTCCCATACATATCGAGTTCCAAAGTTTCAATATCACCAAGGATCTAGAGTGACAACCAAAATTTCAATCATGTGTCTCAATTGGTTCAGAAAGTAGTTTTGTAATTATCAACTGCCTTAAATTTTCAAAAATCTTAAAAAAATCACCAGTGCCGAAATTTAACTAAAGTGCTCTGAGATAAAAAATATTGAAATAATTTTCAAACCAAGGCAAATCAAAGCTAATATCTTATCATTTCAAAGAATTCTTCCACACACCCAATTGTATCACAAAATAATTGATTAATGTCAACTGGTTACAAGATCATTTTAGAGAAAGTGACAGACTGATAACCACACAAAACTTAATTTTATAGTAGTCAAATTTTTCTATAGTTAAATTAAATGATGCATCTTCACATCTGATGAGCTATAATAAATCAGCTTTAAAAATTCAACTTAAAATGGGAATAAAAAGTTTATTCACCTCAATTTATATTTTATTATTGTAGTATTCCATTTTCCTACTGTAAGAATCAAGTGACATATTGAGGGTGCTGTCCTGCTTTTGGCACTAAACAACTACAAGCAACTGATCCTAATGGTTTTAAGTTTGAGCATTTGGCAGGATTATATGATAAACTGATACCTTCCTTCTGAGTGCTTTCCCCCTCTAACCTAGATTTTTTTTTTTTTTTACCTTTTATCTCTCTTTTAGAAAAGTCTACATTTTGAAAAACCTTCCTAGATCTAGCCATCACATAATTCATACATGAAAAAAAGCCAATGAGGGGCGCCTGGGTGGCTCAGTCGGTTAAGCGTCGGCCTTCGGCTCGGGTCATGGTCCCAGGGTCCTGGGATTGAGCCCTGCATCTGGCTCCCTGCTCCGCCCTCTCCCACTCCCCCCTTTTGTGTTCCCTCTCTTGCTGTGCCTCGCTCTGTCAAATAAATAAATAAAATCCTTAAAAAAAAAAAAGCCAATGAGTTTTTAACTATTTCAATTTGGCAACATTGTCTCTATGAAGCTATTAGCAACAAGATTGCAAATATAAATTCAGATACATGTAGCCCAACCTACAGATATCTACTTTGCCTTTCAATACATGCCTATAGACATAGACACAGAGGTTGTTGTCACTGCCACAGGTGCATCTCCACTCTTCGTTCATCTGATCACATCGAGACCCAGAGGCTACTGCAATTCAAACCATCTCAGGAGAAAACAGGTGCTTTTGAACTTCAGCAAAGGAAAAACAAACATATCTCAAGGGAGTGCAACAGGGTAGGTGACTATTATAGGAAGATCGAACTTTATGGAGAAAAAGGGAAATAGGATGTGGGATAGGAATATGGAATGGAGAAGCAAATAGTACAAATATTATTCTAGCCACTTGAGATTGTTTACCTAGACAGGCCTATGCCCAAAAGGGTGAAGAGAAAATGTCCTTTTCCTGCCACACTACAAGGAACTAAAACAATTAATGTAAGGAGTTAAAATTTATTATTGGCTAGCCTAGAAACCATCAGTCATAAGTTTTTATGAGAAAATGAATTCCAAGTTCCAAATGGATTCAGCCAATATTGAGTGCAGTAAACAAGACAGACATTGTCCTGGTTCCCATGTCCAGTTGGAAAATAACTAAAAACAGGTAAACAAGCAAACAGCATTACACATTGTGATGGGTGCTATGAGGAAAACAAAGTGTGGAGCTAGAAAATAGTAAGGGGTGCACATTTTAGATAAGGTGGTTGAAATCTATGAAGAGGTAGCATTTATATCAAAATCAGAGGAAGAAAAGGAGCTAGCCATTCCAAAAACAGAAGGAAGAACAGTCCAAGTAAAGGGAACAGGCCCTGAGGCAAGAAAAGAGCTTGTCTTGTTCAGGTGCCTTTGAGATCACTATGGCTGGATAGCAATAAATCAGATGGAAGAGTGACATAAAATAAAGTCTGAAAAGCCAGACAATGCAGAGGTTTATAGACCATGGTAAAGAACTGAGATTTTATATTGATGTTTTGAAAAGTCATCAATGAGCTTATAAAAAATTTTGTAATTTTGTAGCACAACCTATTTATTAACTGAGGATATATTTTCATAAATCATAATAGTAAAAGTGAGTATTTTCAGGTGAAAAACTTCCCATCACCTGGAATTCATTTTGGTATAATACTGATCACAGGCCTATAGCTATTGTAAACTTTCCACTTGTAATCAGCAAATTCCCCTTCTCTGTTATAACCTGGCTCTAGTGCAATACTCATTTCATAGCACTTAATCACATTTTGAACTTTTCTGTTTGTTGTATTGTTTTTGGTCTTTTCCCCACACTGGTCTATTAGCTCCATGAATGCAGAGACCATGCCTGTCTTAACATTCTTTTCTCAGACTCTCCTATCATAACCAACATTAAGTAGGTAATTAGGACTTATTTGTGGAACAAGGAACAAAAATGGTTCATCTAGTATTTAATGAGCACCTAGTTGTTCTAGACCCTGAAGAAACAGACAGACTGAAGTATGCCATCCATGATTCCAAGAAACTCAAGGGGGGTGGGGACGAGAGTCTTATAAACAACTAAGTTATAATGTGCTGTGAACAAACCGTTGTGGTAGTCCAGAGGAGGGGGGGGCACATATGGTCTAACAAAAAATTTTCTTTGTGCAGGCATGAATATTTATGTGAAAAGCCCAACAAAGGTACAAAAATGTAATCAGATATTTAATGAATACCTTTACTAAAATTACACACAAATTGTGAAGCTAAATCTATGACATAGAACATCTGTGCTTATAGCAGCTGAGGAAAATGGCATGCTGCCTACATTATTCCTGTGTTCAGCTTTGGGGAACATCCGAAAAGTATCCCACTAAAAAAAGGCATCTCCAACTGCTCAGCAGAGCATAAGGTAAACTTATACAATATCGAACCTGTAGTGTGAAATTCCAGAATTCCCATCCCCCATGCCTAAGGGTGCCAAGTTTTGAGCTGCACCACTGATTCAGCAGTATCTTTACAGTCCTTTCACAGGAATTAGTGACTACACAGCTCTTTCCAACCTTTATGGCACTACTAAAGAAAAATACTAATGGCCAACACTATTTGGAAGGTAGAGCAAATTATAAAAAGTAAAAAAAAAGGGGGGGGGGAACTAATAGGATCACAGGATTACATTCAGCATTATTTAACAAGTGATACATAGAACAAGTTAGCAAAAACAAAAGCCTTTTCAGCAGACTTGGAAGCAAAAACAGTACTGTGTAATACAATTCAGATCTATGTTTTGCTGGAGTGAAATCTTACATTCCTTAAAAAAAAAAGGAAACTTCCTCTAGAAAAAAAGAAGAAAAGCAAAAGCCTGGCATTTTACAGATTATTTCCGTATTCCCTTAAAAAAAGACAACACAGCATGACCCTCAAAAGAACATCACCAGCACTTTTAGCCAGTTTAAAGAACAACTCTACTGCTGCCTAGAAAACAAATTGACTATGCAATAAAATGTAAGTTGACTTATAGCGAAGTTTAGAGTTATAGTATTCAAACATTTTAAGTGTTTATAATGTAAATTTGAAGAGAGACTGGGTGTGGGAAAGGAAGGAGAATAAATTTATGAAACCATAGTTGTAAATATTCAGAACAATCTAGTAATTGGACAAAAAAATAAAGATGCCTCTGGCGGAACAGGTTAATACAAGAGGCAGATTTATCGAACTTATTTCTCAAATGGAAGCACTGTACAGACAAGTTGTACAAGGGGCTCTGACTAGTTTTTCTCAGCACAAAACAACTATGTCGCAAAATAAATGCTTTCAGAACTTCAATCGCTGGAACTTTATGTGAACGCCAATGTTCTAAAGTAGTAATGCTAAGTATCCTTACGACAGTCTAACTTGTCGTAAGTCAATTAAATACACACATTGAACACCTTCCCATCCTACTAGTTCGAGTGTAGAAACTGAATCTTTATTCTCTGCCCACATACAAGACACTAATATTTGCTGAAAGATAACTATGAATTTGCCTATTATAATATGGATTCATTAATGAACTAAGAAACCTCAAGCAAAATTATATATTCGATACCAATGATGCAAAACAGCAAAATGACACAACGCCAAGCACCGAATTGGAGAAAACACGTTAAACACAGCTAATTGCAAAGATCCTATTCATCCAATGTCCCTGGGAACACTTGCAAACACCGGCAACCCTCCTGTCCTTTCTCCTTCCAAGAATACTGCTGAAATAAACCCTAGCTATTTATATACTAGAAATATATGCTGAAATTTCTAGAAAAGTTATTGATCAAGAAGCGTGGCCCAGCCACGAAACACCAGCACCGCATTCCAAAAGGCCGGCCACCCCGGCACCGGCTGCAACACGGCTTGGGGACCTGGCAGCACCTGAGCAGGAGGGTGTGGACCTGACATGGCAAGGTCGGTTCCACGCGGGCAGCGCCCCCAGCCCTGAGCCCGCCCAGCCCCGGCCGGCCGCGGTTCTCCGCTCCACACCTCCCGGCTCCCCCACTCAGCAGCCCCCGGCCTCCCGTGCCAGCACTTCGCCACCTCAATCTCTCCACCCGGGGCCAGAGAGGCAGGCGCCCCTCGTCCTCCCCACAACCCCGCGTGCGAGGCCAGCCGGCGCGAGGAAGCACTGCGTTCGCCTCGCTGAGTCCATACACACCTATATTCCAATGCCCCACCCCAGAGCATACAGCTCTCTCTCCACGCCTCTCGAGAGTCGTGCCCCCCAACACGTCCGTCACACCCGGCCATCTTCCCAAGGCCGAGCCCCGCAGCCTTACCCCGACCCCCGAGAGCACACCGTTAGAAATAAGACCTCCGCCTCCAGACGACTGAGTGACTCTGAACGGCGGCAGCCCGTTCGCGACACTTTCGCGTTGCCGTAAAGGGATACAGGGTCGGAACTAGCGGCGGCGCGGGCGCGCGCCTCGGGGAGGTAAGCGCGCCCCAGGACGGTCCTGGCTGCTCGGGAGCGCGCCCTAGCGTCCCGCCCTGTCTCGGTCCCGCGGGCCGGCTTCGGACGCGGCGGCCAGCCCGGCGGGGTCATCCAAGCAAACAAGGTAGGCCGAAAGGGCCAGAGGGTGGGCCCCAGCCCCCTGTAGGGGTGTGCGTCAGAGAAGGGGATTAGGCGGGTCTGGGAAGTGGAGTCGCCCGGAGCCCCTACCCCCATGGCCCGCGCGCGAGTCGCGTGCCGGATGGCCCTGCCTCCCGGGACTGCACTGTGCGAAGCGCGGGAGAGGGACCCGCTGGTGGCCGGAGCGCAGGCGGGCTCCTGGGGACCTGGGGGGCGGGGGCGGGTGCGGGCTGGGCTCAGGCCTCGGCGCTTCACCTCTGCCTCCCCATCCTTGGTCTCTCCCAGCTCCTCTCCCTTGCTAACCCCGAGCAGGCGGAGCCAGGGTCCGCTTCCCGCATCGTTTCCGGGCTGCAGGCAAAGCCCAGATGAGATCTGCGTTCCAGGGCTATGCGCCTCTGTAAGGAGGCAGCGGTGTAAATAATGCCTTGGGTTTTGTTTTAAGCGGCTACCGAGAACCTTCGCCCTAGTGCCCCAAAAACTGCGGTTGGGTACGCGTTCCAATTTTCACTCCCGGGCTCAGATTCCAAGGTAGGGGGGTTGGGGGCAGGTTTGAAATTGAGATCTGTGGTGACCTTGTGTTTATCCGAAGATCGTCTACCACGCGCAGTTCTGTCGCGGGGCGGACCTGAGGGGCAGAAAGGTAAATGGCTGGTCCTTTGTATCCCCACACTGTTCGTTTTTTACATTAGGATACATTTGAAAACCAGTAAACACACCGGGGAAATAATTTTTCCAGTTCTCCCAAATTTTAATTTATAAATCAGTACCCAAACCCCAGTTCCGTAATTCTTGTGGCATTATCAGATTCTCCCCCGATTTCTCCCCTTGTAACATTTGATCCAACATATATAAAAAGTTACTTATCTTCTAGAATCTTTAGGATTTAACAATTACAACAATATCACATTTGTCAGAAGGCCAGGTTAGAGTTTAGAAAAATAACCGTTTTCTCTTATGCTTTGCTTTGGGCCTGGTGGTTCTGTGGACTTTTAAAAAGAGCTTAAGGCTTTCTCTCTTCACTTGGAATATCCAGAATTTACTTTCTTATTGTTTCTTAGCAGTCACCACTTAGAGGAGACAGTATAAGGAATTAATCTTATTACCAGTGGCATTCAAACATTTGTGAAATTTAAGAATTGTAACTGCTGTTCTGATTCATGGATCTTCAAAGAAAGCAGAGAAGGTAGGTGAGAGATGCAAGAATATTTCATTAAGCACTCTGACTGCTAGATGGAGGTTGTTCTTGCCTATTTTCAAAGATTTCTTAAATCATTAACTATTAAAATTTTAATTTTGTTTACTTGGCAATTAGCCAGCCACACTTCTAGCTTTCCACTGTGAAAATACATGGGCAAAAGTAGTCTTCCTCACCAAGTCAGGGCCCTTAAATTTTTCAGTTGTCATTAGCAGACTGGTAAATCATTTCAAGCCCTGCTTGTCTTCTAAACTGTCAGTTTAAACAGAAACCTCAAAGGCTGAGGAGATAGGAATCCAAGATGATTCACACATGCAAAGAATTAAGTGTTGTTGTTCCCCATCCTTGTGGCTAGTTACAGTTGTACCGAATTGATAAATCAGCTATCATTGTTATATTGTATGCTTTCTCTGTTCTACTCTAAGGAACAACCCTTTGAGATAGCTACTTTACAAATCAGAATACTGTAACTCAGAGAAACTTAGTAATTTTCCTAAAATCATACAGCTGGGACTTGATAAAGCTAGGATTTGCACTTGGGTAAAGCTGATCTCACAACTATGTTCTTCCCGTTGCATCACACAAACTAGTTAATGTTTTATTTTGCTTAATAATAAACTATTGTTCTTTGCTCATTTCTGTCTTTCCTTCCATAGGAGGAAATTCAGTGTTTTTCCTTTTATTTTATCTTTTTTGACATCAGTGAAAGGTGTCTAATGTGAGAAAGGATAGGAAAATTGATATCCTAAATTTAAAATATTAATTTCAGATGGTACAACATCATTGTAAAACAAACTAGTACACTTAACCTGCTGAGCACCAGGTATTGTATGGAAGTGTTGAATCACTGTATTATACACCTGAAACTAATATAACCCTGTATGTTCACCAAACTAACTTTAAAATAAAAAAATAAACACAAGTATTGACTCTTCAAAGAAAAATAACTTATTAATAATTCTATAACATAGTGTCCTACCCATGAACAAATACTGGTGCATTGACTTGAAATTGTATGTTTAAAAGAATGTGGTTTGAAACATTTTCTTATTTTCTTTGTATATAGATTTGAAGATTTATACTTTGTATGCAGATTTGAAGACCAATACCTTATGAGCTTGTAAAACAGGTAATTCATCTTTTACAGTCTAAAAGAGGAACAACAGCCATTTATTGATCATCTGTGACAGTATTTTACATATATAAACTCATTTAGTTCTTGCATAAACCTCTGTGAAGTGGGTATTATTTTAGACCATTTGACAGTACTAAAAGCTACCACTTATTATGTATCAGTAACGTGTTTCTTTACTTGTGCTATGTCAGTACAATCCCTATAATAGCTACTCAGCAGCATCCAGTAGAACTTTCCCATGTTCTCTATGTTCACCATCCTTTATGGTAGCCTCTAGACACATGGGGCTTTTGAGCACTTGACATGTGGCTAGTGTGACTGAAAGAGTAAATTTTTAAGTTTTATTTTAGTCAATTGAAATTTTAATTTAAATAGCCACATGTGGCTAGAGGATGCTGTTTTGGAACCTAGCGTTACTCTCAGGTCTTAGAATCTGGATAACCTGGAAAAATGGCAATGCTGTTTACTGAAATAGAAAAATCATGAATCTTTTTGGGGTTTAAGAAGATTTGTTTTTGGCTGTTTGTTCAATCAGAAAATATTTAGTGATTACTATAGGCAAGGCCCTCTGCTATGCTTAGTGGAGTCTCTCACCAAGGATTTTATCCACTTAAGAGCCTTTCCTTGTTTGTCATACTGTAGAAGACGATAGCCATAAGAGATGTGCAAATCAAGTGTTCGCAGAAGAAGGAGTGCTTATTTCCGGATGCAAAGAGATTAGGAAAGGTCGAGTGTGGAAGATCGTATTTGAGCTCGATTTTAAAGAATAGGAAGGATGTGAGCAACAAAAATGATTAAAGGAAGAGGAGGTTATGCTTCTAGCAATGAGATGGACACAATGTTTTGGAAATTCCTTTTGCCAAAATTCCTAAATGCTGGATTAGCCTTTTAAATGCACTGAAGGCCTGTAGAACAGAAAGGGAAATCCCCAGTGCTAAAAGGTCAAAGAGAAAACAAACCAGAGTAGTAAACTAGCAGTGTGTCTTTTGGTTTGGCTGATAGTAGAAATAAAGCACAATTAGGGACAGGTAATAGGCTCCTCTTGCTCCCCACCCAAGGTAGAGAGAGAGAATTCATAGCCCTTTGACCTCTCAGGTATACAACTCCAAGAGGCACCATCCACATGGTAGTTTGTATAAACATGTTTCAGGGGATGATTTTGTTCATAAAAGTTAAAATGTAAATATTTCTACTTGAAATTGTACAACCCATGGCCTTGGAGAACCACCTTCCCCCGAATTCAGCCTGGATCCTCAAAAACTACACTTCATGAAAGGTGGGCTAAGGAAAATACCTCCTTCCTGGCCAAGGGGGATCACAAAGAAATCTGTTCATTTTCACCCAGGTCCAGGTGGGTGAGTAAAGCTACCTCTTGTGAACTTGAAACTGCAGGGTCTGCCATCACTCAGATTCAAGGTTCAAATTTACATATCTACATGGTCTAAAAAACCTGAAAGTCAGGAAATTAAAGTTGGCCCCTTGGTAATGTGCCAGACTGCTTGGCAAAAACAGATATAGACCCTCCCTGGAATGATTCACCCTTAACCTAAGCCTTTTAGAATACTCCCAATTAAAATCCAAATACTAAAGGTCATAGTCAAAAACTACAAAACAGGTGCAAGGGTTGGTGGAACCAACAAATATGAAACTAGATGCCTCTAAGGATGTTGTTAGAATTATCCAAAATAAAATGTTTTTCAAAGAGAAGGAAAGAAAGATTTAAGAAGTAATTCATAATTTATAGAAATTGAGAATTATTGTCTCAGAAACTTATGCTGGGGAAAAGCACTATAGGAATGTGGCAAGGAATTGTCATGTTTAACTAAATTGATGAAGAAAATTGATAGAATGTTAAAGACTAAAAAGGAAAAAAAAGAACAAAAAGGAGGAGATTATGATAATTCAAGCAGGAAATTATTCAAATCAAGTCTATAATGGTGACTTTAGGGATAAAGGAAAAGAAACTTATTTAGCAAGATTTAAATGTACATATTTAGCAACAAGTCAGATGATCAGAGTAAATGACAAGTACAAGTCAAAAATGGCTGAGATTTCATTATTTGGAAGAAGCTGAGCACATTGGAGGATTATGCAGATAAGAGTTGTTACAAAGTTCATGGGAAATATTCAATTTCTGTCCATCAAACTATGAGAAGATACTCCTCCAAACATGACATTATTTTTACATGCATAGGAGTAATTTCTTATAATTTGAAAGTATTTCTGTATTTATTTTTAAAAATTAAATGCATTCAGATACATTAATGTCAAGTAATCATAAGTGAATTCGGAAACAACATCCTCAGTCTGGAATTTAAGAGAGAAAGTGGTGATGTGTGATATGTGTGTATTTAGGTGCTCTTTTTCTTTTCTCTCTCATGTAGGAGCTGGAAATAGAATGGTGAACAAAACGGTTGGTTGCTGCTCTGTCAGAACCTAAGGTTTAGTGAGGAAGATAAAACCAAGCAAACAAGCAACAGTTAAGTGAGATGAATGCCCTGGTCGGGGAAGTAAAAGGTGCTCTTGGAAACAAAGTAGGGACACTCAGCTCAAGCTGGAAGAGTTGGTACTTGATAATACATAGGAGTTAACAGGTGGTAGTGAGGCTGGAGGGTGATAGCATGGTAGTCTGTTACCCAGATAGAACAGTGTATGTGAAGGTCTGCAAGTGTACAAGAGAGCATGACACATTTGAACATCTGAAAGAGGTTTGCTGTAGCCGTATAGCATAGTAAGTAATTGATGTTGGAACAGAATTGCCTGAGTTTGAATTCTGTCTCTACTGAGTCCCAGCCCTGTGACCTTGGACAGTGCTCTTAACCTCTGTAATTCTGTTGTGAGAAGTAAATGAGATCATGTGTTTAAGGTGATTAGTAACATGCTGACACAGAGTAGACACTTGTTTGCATTTGTAACAATGATGAAGACAATGAAAGCTAGAGCAAGGAATTGGGAACAGAGAAGTAGCCAGAGATGAATTACCGAAAGGTAAGTAGAGATCAGACAATGCAAAGACCCTGTAGACTGAGTTAAGGAGGAAAGACAATTTATAAAGGCACAGGGAGGAACCTGAAATATTGTTCGTAGGTGAATAGGTAGTCAGATTGGTATTTCAGAATTAGAATGATCACTCTGGTTTTAGGGTGGAGTCTAGATTGGTCATGGTCCACACTACAGAAGGAACATTTGGGAGATTATAATAATAATCTGGCCAAGAAATGATGGTGCTTTAGGTAGAGTAGTGGCAGTGAAGATGGAGAGAAAGGGTAGATTTGAAGGAAATTTAGGAGGTTGAATAAACTGCTTACTACTTGATTATGTGTGGAAAGCTGGGGTAGAAAGAACGTTTCTGGATATGGCAAGTGGGTGAAGCTTGGTTCCATTTACAGAGAAATTGAAAGCAAGCAGGTGTAGTAGATGGTGTGGGGGATGATTTCAGAAGTGGAACAGCTCATGGGATAAGTACAAGATAGTGGGAGTGGGTGGCTAAAGTAGAAGAGATGAAATACTTGTGAATAATCTTCTCTAATTTTTTTTTCTACTTCAGAAGACCTGTTTGAGATGTGGTGGTTTCAGCAAGGTCTCAGTTTCCTCCCTTCTGCCCTAGTAATTTGGACAGCTGCTGCTTTCATATTTTCATACATTACGGCCATAACACTTCACCATGTTGACCCTGCTCTGCCTTATATCAGGTCAGTGAAATATATTTTTTTATAGGAGACTGTTTATGCATCATTCACATTCTTTTTTTTTTTTTTTAAGATTTTATTTATTTATTTGAGAGAGAGAGAGAGAGAGCACATGAGAGGGGGGGAGGGTCAGAGGGAGAAGCAGACTCCCCGCTGAGCAGGGAGCCTGATGCGGGACTCGATCCCGGGACTCCAGGATCATGACCTGAGCCGAAGGCAGTCGCCTAACCAACTGAGCCACCCAGGCGCCCTGCATCATTCACATTCTAACAGTGAAGCTAACATTCCATATTAACATTTTAAAATTCAGATTTTATATTCGACATTACAACAACAAAAAGAATATAAAAAGGAAGTTGTATTTGGTTCTTTCCGTGTGATAGAGAAAGGTGGAGACAGAGGGGTATGATTCACTTAGTGAATTAGTTAGTGAATTAGGACACTTTAAGTGCCTTGTCTTCCAAATAAATATTTGAGGTTGTCTCAGAAGATAGAAGTGAATTATCTCCCCTTAAAATTCAAAAATGCTGCAAACAACAGTAATAGTATTAAAAGATAATGGTAATGACAACTATTTATCCATCTACTTACTGTGTGCAAGGTAATGTTCTAAGCATTCTTCAGATGATAACTGAATCCTTACAACTACCCTTTGAAGAATTTTTACCCCCATGTAAGAGAGAAGGAAATAAGTTATTTGTTCAAGGCCACATGACTCAGTAAGGGGTGGAACCAAAATGCAGTTTGGGCAATCTGACTCTAGAGACCCTGCTTTTAACCTTTATGACATACTGTCTAGATCTTTCTGACATGTTAAATATCAAAACTTACCAGTAATATTTTTTAAATTTCAAAACTAATAATGATATAAGTATGGGCACTCAGTTGCTTGTGCTATGTTCATAACTCTTTTTTTCCAGTTATAAAGGCAATATATACTTATCCTAACAAATTTTAAATAATAGTAGACTGATTATAAAAGCAAAAAATGAAAGTCTATTTCAACCCCTCTCCAGCTCCTGCCTATCCAGGGTTAATTAATGGTTTGATTGATTTTCTTCCATAGTTTGTTGTTATAGTTTTTCATTTATTTATTTGTTTACATTCTGAAAAATAACCTCTCTAACATAGAAAATAGTGAATTTTTTTTTTTTTTAAAGATTTTATTTATTTATTTGAGAGAGAGAGAATGAGAGACAGAGAGCATGAGAGGGAGGAGGGTCAGAGGGAGAAGCAGACTCCCTGCCGAGCAGGGAGCCTGATGCGGGACTCAATCCCGGGACTCCAGGATCATGACCTGAGCCAAAGGCAGTCGCTTAACCAACTGAGCCACCCAGGCGCCCCGTAAATAGTGAATTTTTAAAGGATGACAAACCAGAAGCTAAATTTATCTTTTTAAAATATCAAGAAGAGATCAGAATGTTACTATCTACATTTGTTCCCACAATGGTACGGTATGGAGCAAAGGATAGCAACAAATTGGCTACACTTTGGGAAGATGTGCAAAAACCAAAGATATTTTAGAATTTAAGGTTCCAACTCTAGGAATAATTTGATGACTAATCACCACTGATCACCACTCTGCTAGACGAACATGTAGCTTAAGGAGCCAGTTCATTCTTTAGTAACTTTTTAGAGAACATACATCAGTAATTCCTGAGTGCCTTTCAGCATTTTTATTTCCCCTTCGGGAACTTGTCTGCTTTCACTTTAAAGAGCTTTTAATCATTTAAGAGGCCTTTGGGTTCTTTTTCAGAGTTTCAGTTCTCGATGGTACTGCATGTGATTTTCTGATAGTACCCTAGACACTTCCTTTTCCATTCCTGTTCTGCCCTTTTATTTTTCTGTATTATTATTGTATTATGTAGTATTATTACCCTGGGATCTTTCTCCAATGTTCTAATACATTTAAACTCAGTACTACTTAATTTTACTTCCCAGGCTCATTTCCTTCATTCGAAGAATGCTTAAGTTAGACTAGATGCTCTGCAAAGTTCCTTTCAGTTCATAGACCCCCATCTAAAAGGTTTAATTGTAATAGTCCCAAAAGAAATAACCAAATGTAAATTTCACTCCAAAGACAATTCCACTGCAAGTATGTTTCAGGTGTTCTCTTAGTTGGTTCAAGTAGTGGATGCCCAGGTAGAACACAGGAGAAGAGTACTGGGGCACGAGAACAAATTATTAGAATTTCTATGTATACTTTTTAATCTTGATATTTGAGCTTATATAATAAATACATATATTTTGAAGTTATATAATCACACCTTTTTTTTTTTTTTTGATGACATGTGATCAAAATAGTTTGATGACCACTGGGTTGGAGTGCTGTGCTGATGAGGTGATGGACTGGGCTGTTTTCACTTGTAGGCCAGTTTGTATCAAACTGTTCCAGAGCCAAGGCAGCCAGCCATTTTGGAAATGCATGCTTTTGTTTCTTTCTAGGATATTTCGAAACTGCAGCATCTCTTGAAATACAACTATTAAAATTTTAGGGAATCAGAAAATTTTTTTTCTGATTATAAGAAAAAATATATATATATATTGAAAATTTGAAAAGTAGAAGAAACAAACAAAAAACCATAATCCTCACTCCCTGAAGATGATCAGAGTAACAAAATCTTTTGTTTCTGAAGATACATCTTAGAGTCGGAAGGAGCAATCCTTAGAATTTATATGTGTTACTTTACTTTTCATAAACCTAACCCAAATGTTCACCAAACCTTATTGATTCCTTACCAGACGTGATTTTCCATCTCTTTTTTATTCCCATTACATTGTGTTAGCTGAGATCCTTATTATCTCTTTCCTCTAGTACTTCAATTCGTGGCCAAAGACTTTGTCTTTTTCATCTTTACTGTATTTTGAGGGAAGGGAAAGGAACTATTTTAATGGGTGTCTCCCGTGTCTGCTGCTGTGCTAAATCTTCACATGTATTGTCAGTTTCATTTCCTCATGTTGAGCTGATGAGACTGGGAGGGAATTAATGGCCCCACTTTGCCGATAAGGAACAGTCATAGAGAGATACAAGAGCATACCCAAAGTTCTACAGTAAATGGTAGGTGGGCTGTTATCTGGACCTGTGTTTTCCCTGCTGCCCTGAAACACAAGCATGTAAGCCGATGCATCGCAATACATTGTGATCAGTGATTTTAACAGAAGTCTGGACAGAATGCTCTGCGAGTCCTCATTCTGCTAGAGGAGTTGGCCAAGGCTTTGGAGGGTAGGGAAAAATTGGTCTCCTAAAATGGAAGCTCCAAGAGGGGAAGGGCTTTGTGTCTTTTACTAACCACTATACTTCTGTCCCTAAAATACTGTCAGGCACATAGTAGGTGCTTGATAAATGTTTTTTTAATTAACAGGAAATGATTAGGTATTAATTGATTTGTAGACAGGGTCAACAAACAGTTGACAAAAGCAGAGTTGTGAAAGGACCTATAGTGTTTAGGGAACATTCAGGTGGGACAGAGGAACATACCTGCCCAATTGATAGAAGTTAGTAACACAGCCCTAACATACCCAGGATAGTTTTGGTTTTTTTGTTTTGTTTTGTTTTGTTTTTTTTAAAGATTTTATTTATTTATTTGACAGAGAGAGACACAGCGAGAGAGGGAACACAAGCAGGGAGAGTGGGAGAGGGAGAAGCAGGCTTGCTGCTGAGCAGAGAGCCCGATGTGGGGCTCAATCCCAGGACCCTGGGATCATGACCTGAGCCGAAGGCAGACGCTTAACGACTGAGCCACCCAGGCGCCCCTAGTTTTGGTTTTTAAAATTTTTTTATTTGTATATATTTTTAAGATTTTTATTTATTTGAGAGAGAGAGAAAAAACAAGCGGGGAGGAGAGGGAGAGGGAGAAGCCGGCTCCCCACTGAGCAGGGACCCTGATGTAAGACTCGATCCCAGGACCTTGGGATCATGACCTGAGCCAAAGGCAGACACTTAACTGACTGAGCCACCAGGTGCCCAGGTTTGGGTTTTTTTTTTAATCAATTTCTATTGATTTCTGTTATCTGAAAAAGAAATAATCTCAAGTGATATGAGAAAAAAATGAACTAGGATGCCTGGGTAGCTCAGTCGGTTAAGCATCTGCCTTGGCTCAGCTCATGATCCCACGGTCCTGGGATCGAGTCCCGCATCGGGCTCCCTGCTCAGCGGGGAGTCTGCTTCCCCCTCTCACTCTCTCTGTGTTCTCCCTCTCTCTCTCTCAAATAAAATCTTTAAAAAAAAAAAAGTGAACTAGATAAGTACTGTGAGCTCAAACTGTCATGTTCTCATAAAATTATATGAGTTAAACTTACAAATGTATAAAAAGATACAGGATTTGAAGTAGCCCATTATTTCTTATTCTTTAGAAAAAATACACATGTATATTTAGTGTGAGAAATCTACATACCTTCTTTTTTTTCTTTCAGTGACACTGGTACAGTAGCTCCAGAAAAATGCTTGTTTGGGGCAATGTTAAATATTGCCGCAGTTTTGTGTAAGTAATGGGAATTGTTTTAAAAATCAAAATTAATAGTGAAATTGCCCTTTCCTTCTTTAAACACTTGTGTTACTTGTTTTAGTTTCTGGTTATACCTGAGGGAATGTTATCACTAAATTATTGGTCCCAGATATGTTCCTTTTAAAAGAAAAGCAATTTCTAAAAATGCTAAATTATAGAAATAAATCCTTAAAAAATATCTATAAGGCTATTTGACTACTCATCCAAATAGAAGTTGTAAAGTATAACCAAATATTTCTTGAGACCTTAAGTGGATTTCTTAAGTGACCAGTAGAGGACAAAAAGCTATAAACACACCGACCACAACTAACACCAACTAAATTCATTTAGGAAAAACAATTTAGAAGTTTAAGAGTATAGCAGTGGAACCGTGTTTTGATTTTTGAACAATGTTCTAACATCAAAGGAATGGAATTCTACTGTATTTTACATTCCTGTTCATTATTTATTTTTTGAATCAAGCTTTTATTAATGATTAAAATATTTTTTCCATCAATTGTGATTGATTTAAATATTTGAACTCTTCCATATGATATTTATTACCTGCTTGGATCAGAAATTGACGTCAAGGAAATGAATGATTCAGTGCATAGGAGTTCACCTTATGACTAAAATTTTCAAAAACATTTCTACAAAAGCATATCTTTGTTTCATTTTCTACACTTCTGAGTTCTTTGACAATATTTTTGCAATGGAAAATTTTATTTGATTTGACCCTTTCTTGACTAACAAGTATGGTAAAGTGGGTGTTTTTGTTTTCTGTGTAATTGACTGCTATATCTGATTGAACCAAGTTGTAATAATTTGAAATAAAATGCAATGGGAGTGAGGCAAATCACCTTTTGGTGTTTTTTTTTTTTTTTTTTGCCAGTACCCATTTTATCCATATTTTAGCAATAATTACTTTAAACTTTAATGCTTATCATATAGGATATTTTGTTTTATATAAAACATCATTAGAAATTGTCAGAAAACATCAGACTTATCTCTTAAATTTTATGCTAAATATTTGTAAATGTGAGGCCCATGGAGGCCAGTGCCTTTCAGTCACACAGAGATATTACTAGTTTCATAATGCAGCCTTAAATGTTCTTTAAAATCAACAGCTGTTTCTGCTTTTTGTTTTTTCTCTTCTCTCATTAAATTTGAAAGGAAGATACATGTTAGGTGACCTTTGTTAACTCTTTGTTGGCAACTTTATTCCCTGCTTACTTATTACTTTGTTGTCTTTCGGATTATCTCTTCCCAGGCATTGCTACCATTTATGTTCGTTACAAGCAAGTTCATGCCCTGAATCCTGAAGAGAGTCGTATCATCAAATTAAACAAGGCTGGCCTTGTACTTGGGTTACTGAGTTGTTTTGGACTTTCTGTTGTGGCAAACTTCCAGGTTTGTGTTTTAGCTCAGCATAGGTATTTTCCTGAGGTACATAAATTAATACATGTTAAAAAGGAAACCTGAAACATTCAGTTACACACTGTTATTGTTTCTTTGCCTTAACAGAGTAGAATCCCCTGCCTTTAAATTATTTGACCTTCTTCAGGATCACTACATACACAATTAGAAAAATTCATTCTCAGTAAGCTCCTGAACACCTATAAATTATTCTGACCTTTTAAGAATTCACAGGACTCTATTAGATTCTTCATTACTACTTAGTTGGAGATTACTCTAAGACCAGAGAGAATTGATATAAATTATAAGTGACACAATTATAGATTTAAATTAAAAAAAAATATATATATATATGAGAGGAGCACCTGGCTGGCTCATTTGATAGAGCATAGAACTCTTGATCTCGGGGTTGTGAGTTCGAGCCCCGTGTTGGGTGTAGAGATTACTTAAAAATAAAGATCTTTGAAAAAAAAAAATGCCTAACAAGTTACACTCATTTACCTATTTTATATTCTTGTTTAGATGTTCCCATTGATCACCTCTATTTCTAGGTGCTCAGCCCCTCATATGAGGAAGTAAAGGGAGGGTATGGAGCTTTTTCCAGCTTTTTCTCAGGGAATTCTTTTTTTTTAAGATTTTATTTATTTATTTGAGATACCGAGAATGAGAGAGATAGAGCATGAGCAGGGGGTAGGGCAGAGGAAGAGGGAGAAGCAGGGAGCCCAATGTGGGACTCGATCCCAGGACCCTGGGATCGTGACCTGAGCCGAAGGCAGACGCTTAACCTACTATGCCACCCAGGTGCCCCTTCTCAGGGAATTCTTAAAGTAGCAGGTTAACCTTCACAAATATTTGCAAACTCTTCACATTCCTTTCTATTGACATTCTTTCAGATGAGTCTTCGGTAATACCAGCTGTATCCTGGGCGTATAGGTGTTTTTTTTTTTTTTTTTTTGATTAATCTCTCTGCAGTCTTCAGAGTTTCAGTTTAGACATCTGATAACCTATTTAGACATCTAATAGCTATTAGTACACACTCATACAGATACACATATAGAGGCATATTCATGCATCCACTCCGGGTATTTTTGGCTGATAGACGGCTTTCCTCCCACAATGATTTAAGGCGCAGACACTATCCATCCTTGAGCTCTCCCATTCTCTAAGTCCTTATTGCCCTCTGCATCCAGCCGATTGAAACAGTCAAAGAGAATATAGAGAAATCACACCTGCTTCTTAACAACCTTGACCTGGCAGTGACTCACATCATTCTACTAACATTTATTTGCTAGACACAAAAGGGGCTGGGAAATGAAGTCTTTCTGAGCATCAGTTCCTGGGACAACTCCATACTATGGAAGGGACACAGAATTTTTGATGGATAGCTAGCTAGCTGTCTTTGCCACAAAGAGGATCCTGCCTTCACTAATCAGTTTCTAAAGCTCAGTGTTAAAAATATGTTTTGGGGAATTTTTAGTATATGGATAGTGATTCTTTTTTCCAGTTGTCCCTTTAGCAATTTAACAGTATCTCTCATCTCTGTATGGTAAAAATGAATCCCAAAGTGACCTCCACACTTAAGATGCTAACTCTGTTAGTAACCATATTTGTTTATGTGATCCAGTAAATTCCAATGGCATGCCGTTCCTGATTGTAACCTGTGCACTCTGCCTTTCTACCTTTTCCTCATTTGCCTACAAAAACGGTTTATATACTTTTTTTACTGTGTTCCTTTTAGCTTTCATTCTAGTTAATCTTCACCCCAGGGGTCCCTGGGCCTTTGAATTTTGAATCAAATTTCCTTTTTTTCTCTCTTGATCACATCTCTTTTCATGCAACATTGGACCTCTGCATCCTTCACTGATGGCTTCATTGCTGGGCCCTATTTATAAGCAGACTCTATAACAGTACCCCGATATCCTTCCTTCCTTTCTCATGTAAACTTTTACTGCTTATTTTAAGTGGTGAGTGCATTGCCCCTGCCTCTTCCCACTCTGTCTTGCAGAAACAAACTCAAGTTATAGAGTTTGACTTGGAAGAGACTCTAGCACTGTGTTTTAAAGTAGGGGCTTGTTGGTTTTATCCCTTAAACATTTCTTGAAAACATCTGCTTCTCTCCATTTCCATCTCCGCTTGCTCTCCCTACCATCTCCTCAACCAGATCAGATTTCATTATCTCTCATAGCCTGGCCTGCTACCATAGCCTCCTAAATACTTCCTCTGCCTTCACTCTTAACATCCCTTTCATTTAATATTGCAGCCAGTGTAATCTTTTGGAATTATATATATATCCCACTCTGTTTCCTTGTACCCCTGCTTAAAGCTGAACAGCGCCAAAGTTCCATGAAAAGAGATGTAATCAAGAGAGAAAAAGGAATTTGATGAACTGCCAAGCTGCTTAATTAATTCAAAGGTCTTGCATGATCTGGCTACATGATCTACTTCTCCAGCCTCGTTCTACATCATTCCCCTTTTTAATATCCTCCCTTGTGTATAACACTGGACTTTCTTTGTTCCTTAAATAAGACAGGTTTATTTTACTCCATTTCACATGTTTCTTTTGTTGGACATTTCACAACCCCAAACCTAAATAGATCTAGGTGTCTTCAACATCTTTGTGCAAACTACTTCCTCAGGGAGATCTTCTCTGTGGTTCCTATATAGTTCTAGTTTTCTTTATTTGTATTCTTTGTGCTCTCTAAGCCTCTGGAAACAAATTCTTCACAGCACTTACTATAGTCTAATTTTATATCTATGGTTTTTAAAAATTTTAGTTGATATTTTTCTCCATTAATTCTAAGCACAATGGTTTTATTCACCATTGTATATTCAGCACCTAACATAGCACTTCAAACAAAGATGTTCTCATTGTTTAGTGACTTATTAAAGAGGCCAAAGGGACTATGCATGATGGATAAAAATTCTTTTGCTATTACTGTGGTTGTCTATGCTTAAAGAGACCCGATGGGATTTGAAAAAATCTGACTGAAAAAACACAAATTTAATTTCTTTGAAAACAACTGTGTATAATAATATTCAGCAAAACAAACATATGCTAAGAGTCCTCAGTGCCTATTTAGAGGAATTTTTCCCTTCCTAGGACATTTATCCTCAAGGAAACTTGGAAGGGATAAGTAAGCAGAAATCTATATTAATTTCATAGGGCTGCCATAACAAAATGCCATAAATTGAGTGGCTTATAATAATGGAAATTTATTCTCTCAAAGTTCAGGAGGCCAGAAGTCTAAAACCAAGATGTTAGTAGGGATAGTTTCCTTTTGGGGACACATGCCTCTTTTCTAGTTTCCAGTGGTTACCAGTAATCCTTGGTATTGCATGGCTCATGGCAACGTAATTCTATGATATGTGCCTCTGTTGTCACATGCCATTCTTTCTTCCTATAAAATTTATCCTCAAGGAGACTTTGGAGAGAGGATAAGGATAAGTAAGCAGGAGATTAGTTCCTAAGTTTCATTAACTGCTTGTAGGTAAAGATTACAGACCATTGAATATATAATTTATAAGTTCTTTATCAGACATTTGCTCCTGACCACACGTATCTCTGTAATTTTTCTTGTCTTTGTCAAAGGATAAGTTTTTGTCTTTGTTTTGTGAAAGGATATATTTTTAAAGAGGATAAAATAATGACTTTTGCACATGTGCCAAAGATTTTATTTAACTTATTAATTAAGGAGGGAACTTTAGGTATTACAAATCAGCTCAAAAGAAAAGTCAAGGTACCACACGTTTGTAGTCAGATAGGGAATGCTAAAATAAATTTATGATGTAAAACTGGTCATATTCACAGAGTGACAATTAATAACATTAAAAAAGACACAACTTGCATTTGTATAGATATGGATTATTTGCCTTGCTATCAGTTTTCTGTAAGTTAACTTCTGTCTCTACACATAACTTCTAAGATGACGGAAGTTTTCTGTGAAAAATAGCCTAATCAGAGCCAAGTAAAACTCACATTTGTGTAGAACCAGCCCCAGAGGCTCTAACATTCCACTGGAAAAATACTCTCTGGCCTATTTCAAGATCTTTTGCTGTTTCCCTGGTCTCTAAAATGACAAAATTGAATGTACAAGCAGAAGTACTGCCAGTTAAAACCAGTTTTAAATGCCTTTATTTTTAATTATAAAAAACAGTAATCACTCTCCATTCTTTTTTTTTTTTTTTTTTAAGATTTTATTTATTTATTTGCGAGAGAGAGAATGAGAGACAGAGAGCACGAGAGGGAGGAGGGTCAGAGGGAGAAGCAGACTCCCCGCCGAGCAGGGAGCCCGATGCGGGACTCGATCCCGGGACTCCAGGATCATGACCTGAGCCGAAGGCAGTCGCTTAACCAACTGAGCCACCCAGGCGCCCCTCTCCATTCTTTACTCTTACTTTTTAATTCACAGGATTTTGTTGTTGGGACTGTAGAGTGATCACAGGTGGGCATCAGTCAGGCTATATCTGTATTTATCTTCATCAATACATATGAGAATTTTTTTAAGGAAAAATTCACCTGCTCGTAGTCCTAAAATAGTTAATTTCATTTTTGCCTATATTTTTCTAGCCTTTATTCATATGTATAGATAAATTCCCATAAGAAGATAATACCATTTTGTATTATGTTTTACGGGTGTTGAAGTTTTTTTTTCTTTGTTACCCAAAGTGGTAATAGCAATGCATTTTTTTTCCCTTCCCAGTACTCATAACATTGCCAGTTATAACACCACAGACCGAATCAAAATAGCCCTTCCTCTCCAAAAGAAAACCAATGGCTTTGGCAAAACATTACTATCTTTTACTTCTTATAGCTTCAACAAGAAAATTGGGCTCTGTGTTTGTGAATTAGCACAGTCGATTGTGAAAGAAGGAACCCAAGCCTTAACCTCTCCCCTCTTGTTACCCCATCATACACTCTCTGCCAGGTGCTCTACGGTGCCTTCTCAACCAAGTGAAATACAGACCGCATCACCTTCAGAAACTAGAGTGGTTCAACCAAAAACGTTTGTAGAATTTTTGGAGAGCTACTTTGTCACTTTTAAGCAGAGGGTACATGTGATAATAAGTAAAATGTAAATGGATACTGATGAGTGAGATAAAGGAGAAAAGAATTGGAATTTATCAAAACCAATCAGTGAGAGCCAAGAGGGAATGCTTTAATTTTTTGACCATTCAATTGTACTTAGATTTAAATTAGATTTAAGTTGAAACTCCCTCCCTCCAGTTTCCCAACCATCCTGATCCTCCTTTGCCATGCACTACTCTTTTTCTATAACCCTTATTACCATCTAGCGTACGATGGACTTTACTTATTTCTAAAGTTTATTACTTACTGTTTGTGCTTCTTCACTTGAATGTAAACTCTGAGGGCCAGATTTTTGTCTGTTTTGTTCACTAATATATCTGAGTACTTACAACAGTGCTTGACACAGAAAAGGTACCCAAATAAACCTATTATTCAATGAGTAAATGAATAATTACTGTCATATTTTCAGTAGTGACATGTGAACAATTTGGTTTACTGTAATCTGGCTTTTATGGAGTACTCTGACAGAATTGCTTCAGGAAGTAATCTCTAGAATTCACAGTGCTTTTCCATTCAGCGACTGTTCTTTTGAGATCACTAGCTTGTGCTTTCAAATATTGTGTTGGCAATATGTTTTGAGTTTCCCTTATTTACTTATTTCTTCTTTCTGCCTCTCAGAAAACAGCCTTTTTTGTTGTGCATGTATGTGGAGCTGTGCTCACCTTTGGTATGGGCTCGTTATACATGTTCGTTCAGACCATCCTTTCCTACCAAATGCAGCCCAAAATTCATGGCAAACAAGTCTTCTGGATCAGACTACTGGTGGTTATCTGGTGTGGAGTAAGTGCATTTAGCAGTATCCTTTGCTGTAAAATGTGGCTATACTTGGAAGGGAATTGAATAACAGAATTTAAGTGAACACTGTTGGCATATTATGAGCAGGCATCTTGTGAGTGAGATTCTTGGGTTAGTAACCCTAAATTAAAGGACTTGAAACATGAAATTCAAATTTTACATAGGATCTCAGTAATTGAGTTGAGAACAAAGATAAGATTTAGCCTGATCATACTCATTTCAGAGATAGGAAGGATGAGTTAATTCCCTCCCGAGAACAATTATGTAGCAGAATCTTAGGCTAGTGCTGCTGATTTACTGAGCAAAGAGGGATTGACTATGCAAACCATTTCATAGTAATCCTCTGGGTACATTTTAATTTTCACTACTGCTGTATAACATCTAGTCTTTAAGAAAATGGGTTTGAACCTTGGAAACAAATGTATGAGTAATCCTTGTGGACCTTTAAAGTGATTTTTATTTTGAATCTAAGCTTACAGGTTTTCTCTGAGATTCTCCTTGACTTACTTTTTTTATAGTGCTGACTTGCTCATCCCTTTTGTACAGTGGGAATTTCGGCACAGATATCGTACAGAAACTCCATTGGAACCCCGAGGACAGAGTAAGAACTTGGAATCTATAAAACTTAGTTTAATTGTATTAAGGATAACTATTATGGTTGATTTTGATGTATTTTTCATGTCATCACTAAAAAAATCATACTTTTTCAGTAGAATAATCATTTTGTTAAATTAGGATTATTTTCTATGTATGATTGAGTTTATGTAGCACCACCTATATTCTTCTGTCACGTTTCAACAGTGAACATTTTCAAGACACAAAGAGAATTGTGATGGCAAAGAGTTTTCTCAGAAATTGACTCCTCTAAATACGTATATAATGTACAACATACCCAACTGAGATCTTTTATTATTAGAATACTTGTTTTCTGAATTACCATCTAGAGATTTATTATTATGGACTCTGCATTTGGGTTTCAATATAGTGGATATCTGAATGGAGATAACATCTTTGACCCGGAGGGAAAAAAGAGGAGGGATATATACTAGCTAGATGATAAAATAAGTTCATCTGTTTTCACAAACCTTGCAGTGGCATTTCATTTTGAATTGTTTTTAAAGAATTAGCCCCGGATGGGATATGTTTGTGAGAATGAAAGGATGAAATAATTTACTAGTTTCCTTCAGTTATAATCCATGTATTATTTAATGCTCTAAAAATAACACGTTTATCATGAGCATTTTTTACTGACATTTTTAGTGGCATTTAATGAATCTTATGGCTGTGGGAAAGGCAGTAACTTCCCAATTATAGAGTAGAGGTTCTCTTGGTCTTAGTTCTTCAAATGGAAATTTTATTTGCTCTAGAGGAGGTTATGATAGCTAGATCATTTAGGAGGACGTTCCTAATGTCTTTCTTTAATTCTTGAGATATGTTCAATAAATTAAGGGTTGTTTCGTTTTGTTTTCCAGAGAGTTCAGATATAGAATTATTTATAAAAGATAAATAGAATTAAGTTTTTAAACAAACCTTATTTTAGGCAGTTTTATATCTACAGAAAATTGTGAAAATAGTGCACAGGGTTCTATGTTATCAATATATTCTGTACCTGCCTCTTTTAGTAACATCTTTAATTAATATGGCATGTTTGTTACAATTAATAAACTCATGGATACATTTTTAACAAAAGGCCATAGTGTATTAATATGTCCTTAATGTTTACCTGATGTCCTTTGAATTTCAGAAGGCAGATTGGTTTGCAGGTTTTATGGGTCTTTTATTTGAGAGAAATTCTGGATCATTCAGATGAAATTTCACAGAATTACTTTTTTTTCCCGTTGTCACTCAAGGGTTATGTGCTTCACATGGTCACCACTGCAGCAGAATGGTCTATGTCTTTCTCCTTCTTTGGTTTTTTCCTGACTTACATCCGTGATTTTCAGGTAAGAAAACACAGCATTAGATTTATGCAAACTTCCCTCAGGTGGAATAAAAGAAGTTGCTATAGTCAAGTCTCCAACCTTTCTGAAAATTAACTTCATAAGCAGCGATGCCAGAAGAGCTTCTCAGGTAAATCATTTCTGTGTTTGGGGAAGTAGTGTGTTGTTAGTAAGGGGTTCAACCTTGAAAATAGGATTGTAAAACAAGTAAGCAGAAAACTTTTCACAGAATTTTCATCAACTCTGCCTATGTTTACATAGGCCATCCTCAACATTTAGTTTCACTGATTCCTTTTAGTAACCGAAGAAAAATGAAGAACTTCTGAGTAGGAAAGCTTGGTTTACCTAACTGTTGGTACTACAGATGATACCTTTGGCAGTACAACATCTGTCTCAATCTTGTTACTCCTTAGAATTGATTTACATCTCCAGTCCCACAAATATTCTTCAGAACATATTGAAGATGTGATGTTGAAGACATTGAAGATGTCTTTAAGGAACAAACGCCTATATATAATTTTCTTTTCTGTTACAGAAAATTTCTTTACGAGTGGAAGCCAATTTACATGGATTAACTCTCTATGACACTGCCCCTTGCCCTGTGAACAATGAACGAACACGGCTACTTTCCAGAGATTTATGATGAAGGGATAAAATATATCTGTGATGATTATGATTCTCAGGGATTGGGGGAAATGTTCATGAAAGTTCCTTATTCTGCTCTGAAATTTTTAACCAGTTAATCAAGGCTGACAGTGATGTTGATGAGTACTGATAATCAAGAGACATAAATAAAGCCATTTCACAAGTTATTTTAAAGGATATCTTCAAGAAGACCATGTAAAAACATTTATGCCTATACTTTTTTTAATCCCAGAAAATAAAACCAAAGGACTACAACACTGTAGATTTTTTTCTACTTTATTTAAGAGGAACAACAAAAGTGCACCAAGCAGTCTACAAAATCCAGCCTTTCATATTTTCTAAATCATTGTAAACCATGTTTTGTTTGGAGCACTTTTATGAGAGATATTTTCCAGGACCCCAGATAATCAGCATTGCTCAACAGCTCCTTTAGAATTGGATTTTGAAATAATAGTTTTACCATATCAGTACATTTCTTACAGTCTTTATAAGATGTTTTTCTTCTGGAATCCACTTATTAAGGGGAGCAGACCTGAATTCATGTAAGTGCTTTCATTGCTTAAGTTTTGCACAGGTGATTCTCTAGGTATGGACTTGATTCCTGCCACAAAGCCAAATACTATGCCAAGTGGTCTGTCACATACACTTGCAATAGTTTCATGAAGCTTAGTCTCTAAAATGAGATTTTAATCACTAATGCATGAGAGAAGTAGCTATAGGCAGATTTACTTCAGTTGTGTTTTACATAAAACAAGGGTTCGTGTTCATACATAAGGCTGAGAAGTTTGTGAATAACAGCAGATGTGATTAATGTAAGTTACCACAAACTGCAGTCAAGAGCTTAGATTTTCATTTATAGCAAATTATAATTATTTATAGAAGTAGTCTTGAATGGGCAGATATTAAGCCTTTTAAACAGGGTGTGAACTTTGTAGAACCCAAATTCTAAAGGACAAAATCAGTCCAAAAAAAAATACAAGGTACAAAATAATTGTGATATAGGTATCCACCAAAATGGTTTTCTTTCTCTCTGTCATGCAAATGATCAGATAGCTTCTACTTGGATCCCTATCTGTGCAGATAAAGGATGGTTTACAGATCCCAGATAAAATTCAAATTCAAATTACTCATCCAGAAGGTGCTCAGTGACTGGTTCTCAGAAGAATCTTTGAAGAAGATTAACAAGGTTTATCATTTTAGAAGAAATGGTTCTGTAGCCAAAATAAAAAATGGTGAGAACAAGGTTAAAGTACAAAGAAGGAGCACTTTTAAAGGAAAATGGATATATGGTGGAAACAGATCTCAATTAGGAATAAGTTGCTAGATATAGGACTATGTAAATAATATTTCTGAAGACTTCTGGGCTAATAAGACAAAGTGGAATAAAATACTGTTTATCATGCAGCAGTGAACATGGAAGATATTTCAGTAAACACTGATTCATTGAAATCTGGCATCACTAGAAAAAAAATGGTTACAAACCATAAAAAATTTGTCATGCCTCTGAAAATTATGGTGCAGCCACACCTGAGAAACAGCATTCAGTCCTGACTCCTGTACATCAGGGAAGATGAAATTCAAGTTGTGAAGGACCACAGTGTGGTGAGAGAGGAATTGATAGAATCGAAGTTTATAAATTGTATGTGGGGAGGATGGCATAGGGAAAGACTTGGATTTATAGGTCCATACTAGAATATTAGGCTTAGAAATGTGCACTAACACATTAAAGAAATTATTTTAAAACAAAATGTTACTTTGATAGTATTTTAATCCCATCATTTAACCTTTACCCTTAGGCATAACAGAGGCTGAAAATATTGTTTAAAGGGGATTATAAATAGATTTTTGAATATGTGTTTATTCTTCACTTATGGCTAAAGTAATGGAAGGTAACCACCTCCTCCCTCAAAGTATGCCTTGCCTCCACTGTCAGTACAGTAGCTTGGATAAGCAGATAAGGCATTCCTTTTCAGTTCAATCAGCATTTTTGTATTGAATATTTATCTTTAAAAATAAAAGGTCTTAAGCTGACAAAATTAGCAGGTTCTATGAACTGAGTGTATCTATTTCTTTTTTGTCCTGGAAACCCAGCAAGACTATATTTCCCAGCTTCCCTTTCCAGCTTCCCTTTCAATTAAGTATGAGCATGAGACTGAATTTTAGCCAGTGAAATGTAAATGAAATGGGTGTTCATTATTTTCTCATTAAGATCCTGAAAAATGGGAATGCTCTTACCCAATTTTTTCTCCTTACACTAAATGGATATTGATGACAAAATTTTAGGAGATGACAGAATCACATGATAAAATGAACCTGAACTAGTCCACTTCTACTTTTAGATTTTAGAAAATCAAATGAGATCTTTTATAATTTAGGAACTCCATTTTTATCCATCCCAGTTACTTAGATTATATTGTATGTTGCCAGAATAGTGCCATATATCGTAAGTGTTCAGTGGATTTGTGAAAAAGAAAGAGAACTTTTCTTTATCTCTTCAATGTCCTGTATAGGCTCACTGTGAAATGAAGTTCAGTAAACATTGGCTTATTAGTATCTTTGTAAATCCACAACGTATGTCTTATTTTCAACCAGCCAGATTGCTAATTTTAGTAAATCACTCATTTATAGGAAGATAACCTAGAACAGAACTAAAATAAAAAAAAAATCTGAGGCTTTGTGAGTATAAGCAACTGTACCCTCCAAAAGGCGTGGTAATTTGAGAGAGAGTTCACCTACTCAGGAAGCCTGAGTAGAATACAAAGAGAATACTTCAGGAATTCTAAAATATGCTGTTGGAATGTAGTGCAGAGAGGAAGGCCCCATGTTTGGAAACCAGGCAGTTTAGCTGAAAAGCACAAAGATTCCACTAGGATCTCACCAATGCTCAGATCCCAATCCCTGCTGAAAGGAAACCCTTTTAATTTAAAATATTTGAAGCAAGTGGAAAAGTTAAACTAAATCAGCAGCAAAGCTCATCTCCACCTCAACTACAGATTAGATTAACTCACCTTCCCACTCTAAGAGCCTGACAAAGGAACAGGCATGCCCTTTTGTGGAGGTAATTATTTATTTTCATTTTATTTTCTACTGTTCTTTTATGGAAAATACCCAGCATACAGCAAGAAATTATAAGACCTGCAAAGGAGCAAAAAATTTGATCCAGAGAGCAAAGAGTCAATAGACGCAAACTCAGAGATTGCCCAGATGTTACAGTTATCAGAGGTAGATTAACTATGATTAAAATGCTGAAGGAAGTAGTAAAAAGGGTGGAAAACGTGCATGAAGAGATGGGGAATTTCAGCAGAGACATGTAAATTATGTGAAATAAAGAAAATTCTAGAATTGAATATGATAGGATTACACATAGAAGAAATGATAGACTTGGAAGACAGGACAATCAAAAGTAAAAAAAGAGAAAAAGGGAGTGAAAATAAAAAGTATAGAGTATTTGAGTTTTGTAGGCAAAATCAAATGGCCTTGCATCTCGTAATTGAGTTTCTGAAGGCGAAGATAAAGAGAATGGTACAGAAGAAATGTTTGAAGAGATCATGTTGACTGACAACTTATCCACAATTGTTAGAAATTAACACAAAATCAAAATCAAAAGTGAGATTTTGAAAATGATAAAAATTGATAAACACTTATCAAGAATAATATACAGGCTTGAATAATAGTCATGTCCATCCAGAACTTTAGAATTTGACCTTATTTGGAAATAGGGTATTTGCAGATGTAATTAGTTATGAGATCATATTAAATCCAATGACTTGGTGTCCTTATAAGAAGACCATAGACAGACATAGAAACAGAAGGCCTAGTGAAGACAAAGGCAGAGATTGGAGTAATTCATCCTCAAGTCAAAGGTTGCCAGCAACCAGAAACTATTAAGAGGTGAGGAGTAATCCTCTCCTACAGCCTTTATTATTTTTTTAAAAGATTTTATTTATTTATTTGAGAGAGAGAGAATGAGAAAGAGAGCACATGAGAGGGGGGAGGGTCTGAGGGAGAAGCAGACTCCCTGCCGAGCAGGGAGCCTGATGCGGGACTCAATCCCGGGATTCCAGGATCATGACCTGAGCCGAAGGCAGTTGCTTAACCAACTGAGCCACCCAGGCGCCTCTCTCCTACAGCCTTTAAAAGGAGCCTTGATTTTCGATTTCTGCCCTCCAGAAATGTGAGAGAATACATCTCTGTAGTTTCAAGCCACTCAGTTTATGGTAATTTGTTATGACAGCCTAGTAAAAAACCTGATCAAGTGAAAAAGAGAAAACACAAATTACTAATATCAAGAATGAAAAGGAAGATACCACTACATAGCTTGTTGGACATTAAAGATAATAAGAGCATGTTATGGATAACTTTATACCAATAAGTTCAACTACTCAGATGAAATGGACAAATTGTCTTTTAACCCATAGCTTGTCAAAAATACAAGAAGAAAAAAATCTAAAAATATTTCCATATTTATTAAAGTATTGAATTTGTAATTACATATCTTTCCAATAAGAAAACTTCCAAACTTCTACATAAACTCTTTCAAGAAATAAAGAGGACTTTTCACCTTGTTTTATGAGGCCTGCATAACTCTAGTAACAAAACTTGACAAATATGAGAAAAGAAAAAGATTAATATCCCTCATGAATCCAGCTGCAAAAATACTTAAAATAGTAGGAAACAAAACAATGAAAAAAATGATATAGCATGACCAAGTTGGGTTTATTCCAGCAATATAATTCACCAAATTAACATAAAGGGGAAATGACAGTAATGAAAACAATTTGAAAAAATTAAACACTCAAGATGAAAAACTCCCAGTAAACCAAAAATAGAAGAGAATTTTTACCATTCCATAAGGACATCAATGGAAATCTAACAGCTAATGTAATGTTTAATGGTTTAATATTAAATCCTTTTCCCCTGGAATTGGAAAGGAGGCAAAAATATCTATGCTTGCCCCTTCTGTTCAACATCACAATAGAAGCCCTGGCCAGTACAATAGGTAAGAAAAAGAAATAAAAAACAAAGATTAATAAAAAAAGGGAAAGTAATTGTGTATTTACAAAAATTATATGAAATTTTCAAAACTACTAATTTTGGATGAATAAGTGAATTTAGAAAAGTTACAGGATAGAAGTTCAATAATGATACACTGCAATTCTATATTAACAATGAACACTTGAAAACTGAAATAATATGATCTATAGCATAAAATAGTCATATACCTAGGAACAAATCTAATTACATATGTATGAGAACTTTATA